GAAAGTTAACACAGGAGAAGAATGGACTGGTTGAAAGGACAAACAGTAAAAAAAATTAAATAAAATAAAATAAAAAAATAAAACGAAGAAAAGAAACAAAGGAGAACTGAAAAGAAAAGGAAAGGTAAGGAAGAAAGAAAAAGAAAGGAACCAAAAGAACGAACTTGGGGACTCAGCTCGTAATGGGATTAGGGAAAGGCAATCAGTGGAAGTCAGCCGAGGGCCGCGTTTCAGTGGAGAGATGCTACTGTGACCTCTGGCTCCAGGGTCCCTCTACGGGAAGGAGATCCTTTTGCTCCTTCTGACCATCAGTAAGTTGCCGAGAGGGAAGCCCGTGAACACTGCAGCACAAAGACACCACACCTGATCCGCAGCCATAAGGAAAGTGTCAGGGCCAGATGTTCTGAGCATACCTGACAAAGTAACGGGTCACTTTTAAAACCAGGAGGGGAGAAATGAAACAAAATTGCAGTGTCTTATTGCTTTGGATTTTGGTCACATTTGGCGTGAAAGCTCTCTAGATGGTTATTGAATGTATGTTAAATAGTGATTGATTATTAAGATCACATTTACTGAGGCTTAGCAACACTGGGATAAAATGTGCATCTATTATCCAGTTGTTAAATCTCAGTAAATACGTAGGTAATAATCACAGCTGATTTATTTTACATCTAATAAATCTCCTCCTATTCCCTTGCAAAGAAATATTGTGTTAGAAGACATGGTCTTATGGAAGGTTTTTTCCCCTCTGAAAAAAACCTGACTATTTCTGGGCATATTAGTCACTGGACAGGGGTATATCCCTGCAAGAAAACTCTACTGGCTATTATAAACATGCATCCTGATTCTCACTCTGGACACTGTTCCAACTGGTCTGATAGGAAGAACTTCTATGGGATTTCCAGATTCCCAGGAATTGACTCTGGGTTTAGCTTGGGAGAAGGGTGAAACCTCATCTGGATTTTGAATGAAACCTTGAAGAAATGCTGATTGCAGCCTGAAAGAGTAGTAAAAATTTAACTTCTGATCTGGAATAAACTGTGGATGCAGCTCATGGAGAAGCCAGAGCTGAAGTGGAATTCTGAACCGTCTCATGAAAGACGTAGCGGCTTCAGAATAGATACAAAACACACATGAGGGATATACTGAACTAGACACTGGACTGGAGAGCAAGGAAAATGGCCTTTTACCTGCCCAAATACTTGAAAACTCTCTTCAGAAAAAAAAAAACACCAAAGAAAAGAAAACAAAGAGACAAACAGAAGGAGCGCGAGGCTGGGGGTGTGCTGTGGGAAAGAGGTACTCACTTAGTAATGCAGGGTTGCTGAAC